GTCTGGCAGCTGCCTCGCCAGAAAGCATGACCCAGAAAACCACATTCTATTCCCAGCTTCCAGCTGCTGTCTGCTCCTCTGCTTCCCCTAGTGGCAGTTTCAGCACTTGCTGGGTCTGGGCCAGAACCCCCTGCCCACTTCTACCCCAGTATCACAATGTTTATTGATTGGTACAAGGCCAGCAGGTGGCATGAGGTTAAGGCAGCTGGATCCATGTGGCAAGCCATGTGCTTCAAGTCTTGGACGAGGAGGTTTGAAAAACACACCAGGCGATTTGTGCATGCATGGCCAAAATCCCAAGGGGACAAGGATTGTGTCATGGCCATCACTCCTAGGGGGTGATTTCTCACTTCCATTCCCAACCCATGAGCCCATGTGCCTTGTAGCAAAATATAAAAACAAAAACATGTTGAGCGTGTGTGTGTGTGTGTGCATGTTCTAAATCTCAAGAGAATGGAGGAGAAGGATTGTGGCATGACCATCCTCCCTGGGGGGTAATTTCTCACTTTTTCTGTCTCTCTGTATCTGGTAAGTGTATGTACCCTCTAGCTAAACTAAAAGAAATGGACAAGGGAGACCAGCAGGTGGCGTGGTGGTTAAGGCACTGGACTCTCCCCCATGGCCGACCAAGGTTCACATCCTGGACCTGGCAGCTTGCTTTCTCACTTTCTCTCTCTCTCTCTCTGGCCAAATTAAAATAAATGAATGAATAAATAAAATTAAATAATTTTTTAAATGGATAGGTATAAGTATATAAAGTCAGAGCATGAATATGACTTCATAAATGACAGAGGCTTTATTTCAGTATTATAACATATGGGACTAATTTATATTCTTAATGTTTTACCCTCACTTTAAGAGCATTAATGATGTCTCAAAACTGGTAAGTCTTGTACCAGTAAGCTGTGTTTCTTTTTTGTTACCGTTGTTTAAAGTTTTTCTTTCCTTTTTCTGCAAGCAAGAGAAAGACAGACAGATGGCAGGCAGGTGCCTCCAGCAGGGCCCTCATGCCGCGTTCTACCCTAAGCCTCAGCATATGGGCATACGCACGTCCGGCATATTCAGGGAGGTCTTCAGACACACGCCTAAAACCTTCCCATGTGGGTTAGCCTTGTAGAGCATTGTTTGACTAATGTACCCGTGTCCAGTCCCAAGCATGTTTCTTTTTTTTTTTTTTTTTAAGAATTCTTTATTTAATTGTGTTTATTCATTCATGTATTTTAATTTGACCGGGGGAGGGGGAGTGAGAAAGCAAGTCACCAGGTCTAGGACTTGTACCGTTGTTGGCCATGTGGGAGTGTCCAGCGCCTTAAACTCCATGCCACATGCTGGCCTCCCAACCATGTTTCTTTTAAAAAGATTTGGACACTTGCCCACACTCAAGGATATTAAAACCTAGCACATGAACCCCATTTCTAGCATTAGAAATACAGGCAATATAGTACTATGGCAACAAGCATCAATTAATTACAGTTATGAATTTTTTTGTAACAGCCAAGTGAATAATCAAATACTGCAACAACCCCAGTACTACTGAGCAAAGCACCTTCTCTCAGCCATGCCTTATTCTAGGAGTGGCTAGGACTTAACCAGATAGTGGGGAGGAGAGGGAAGAGCGAGCCGAGGACAGGGGCTCATTGCAGACAGCCTGGGGTGAGGACACAGGAGAGTGTGTGCCCGTGGACAGAAAGGCAGTAGAGTCCATGGGGCAGATCTGGGAGCTGGTGACTTCTCTCTGTTCCATCTGATCCTCTCCTTTTATCGTTTTTTTGGGTGGCTATGGGAGGGAAGTAGCCATGAATGATAGAGCAATAGTGAGGATCTCCTGCAGGACACAGGAGGTGAAAGTTCACCGCCTGGGTGCCCATGAGCCACAGAGGAAATGAGTACTGCCTGTCACCAGGCCATGCAGAGATGCAGGTGGAGGGTGCCCTCTCTAGCAACTTATTCATCCCTCCCTTTTTTATTTGGAGAGGTTTTCACTATAGGACGCGTGCACTCACCAGACAGAGAGAGACATAGAGACAGAAAGCGAGAAATCACCCCCCCAGGAGGGATGGTCACACTGCAATCCCTTCTCCTCCATTCTTCTCCCGGGATCTTGGGCACGCACGGACATGCGCCCGGCGTGAGTTCTAAGCCACCGGGTCCGGGACACGAACCGCAGTTGACTACGTGGGAGTCCAGCGACATAGCCATTACACTAACTGCTGGTTCCCTTCATCCCTCCCTTCATTCCCTCCCACATATGTCTTCCATCTCTCCTTTAGTGCACCTGACTCCGGTCTGGGGGCATTCTTCTCTTGATGGGACACAGCAGAAGGGGCATTTCAAGGGTCTTGTAAGCATACAGAGAGGGGCTGGCAAGTGGTGTGCTGATTAAGGATGGGGACTCCCACATAACTGACCACGGTTCAAGTCCCGTACCTGACAGCTTGTTTTCTCACTTTCCCCCTCTCTCTCGCTTTCACTCTCTCCCTCCTTGGTCAAATTAAAATTAATTAATTAATTAAATTAAATTAAATAAATCATTAAAAAAAAAAAGCCTGCAGAGAACTTGCATGCCCCACCTCCCTTCCTAAGGAGCCCAGGGTCACATGACTTTCTGGGCTCCAAGGACATGTTGGGAGGCCTTGGTTAGGAGGACGTGTAACAGATGTCACAAATGCAGCCCTCCCCGTTGTCCTCCGGACAGCCTCTGCTGGTGGACACGTACTAACACATGCATGGGTCACTTCTCAAAGCCACTGTTCTTAGTCCTGCTGTCACCACCCTCATGTCCCCATATCAGAATCCAGGAGTAAGCCTTCCTGGTGTTTTCACCAATGCTCTCCTATCTTTCATTCGTTTTACATTAGTTACTGAGCATGAACACACATCAGCATGTGGTCTGTCATGGTCTCTAGGACACCACAGTTCCTGTTCTCACAGAGCTAACATATCCTGCATCAGGTGAGATAAGTGCTATAGAAAAAGAACACAAGGGACCAGCACTTAGCGTAATGGCTATGTCGCTGGACTCCCACGTAGTCGACTGCGGTTTGCGTCCCGGACCCGGTGGCTTAAACTCACGCCAGGCGCGTGTGCATGCGTGCCCAAGATCCTGAGGAGGATGGAGGAGAAGGGATTGCGGCGTGACCATCCCCCCTGGGGGGTGATTTCTCGCTTTCTGTCTCTCTGTCTGTCTCTGTCTGTCTGGTGAGCACACGCGCCCTATAGCAAAAACCTCTCCCAAAAAAAAGAAAAAAAAATAACACAAGTGAGGGGACAGAGTGATGGGGCTGAAGAGGGGACATTTGAACAGAGATCCAATGGAAGGGATGAGACAGCCACCACTGTGCATGTCCAGGAAGGGAACAGAAAGGGCCTTGAGGTGAGGACGTGGCTTGGGCAAGTGAGCATACGAGAAGCGGCAGGAAGGAAGCCTGAGAGGAAGGCAGCAATGGTGGGGCAACCACGTAGAGACCCCAGAGGGGATTCCTATTTAGAAAAATATGAGTGCAGAAGTCTTTGAAGCAGATGAGCAACTTGTTCTGCCTTGTGTTTTTGGTTGGTTTGTTTTAGTTTTGTTTTTTTTTTAAGAAATTTTTACTTTAGGGCGTGTGCACTTGACAGAGAGAGACAGGGACAATGAGAGGAAAAGTGAGACGTCACCCAGGATCTTGGCCATGTACACACATGTGCCTGGAGTGATTTTCAAGTCACTGGGTCTGGGACCCAAACCACGGTCAGGCATGTGGGAGTCCAGCAATGTAACTACTATGTCACCTGCTGCACCCGGTCTGCCTCGTGTTTTAAAAAGATTACTCTGAGACTAGCAGGTGGCATGGAGGTTAAGGCAGCTGGATTCCACATGGCCAACCATGCGGTTCAAGTCCCAGACCTGGTGGCTTGAAAATCACACTAGGTCCACACACATGTGTGCCCCAAACCCCGACAGGACAATGGAGAAGAGATTATGGCATGGCCATCCCCCAAGGGGAATGGTTTCCTCACTTTGTCTCTCTCTCCCCAGTGAGTGCACATGCCCTATAGCAAACTACAAAAATAAAAGATCACTCAGGCTGCCCGCTGAGGTGGCACAGGCAGCAGCACACTGCTGTGCAATATTGGAGCCATACGGGAGGCCTGGGTTTGGATCCCAGGTCAACCTGAACACACTGTGTGCGCCCATGCGCCCATGGTCCTGGCTGGCTCAGGGAAGGACCACAGTATGGCAAGACTGTGTGTTTGCTGTCTAGGTTACCTGGGTGTGTATCTTGCTGTCTTTCATGAAAGAAATAAGCAAACTTAGGAACAGCAGAAGAATCACTCTCTCTGCTGTGTGGAGAATAGACTGGGGGTTGTGGAGGGACAAGCTCTCCTCCCAGGCTTGGCTTGTCCCTGCCTCTACTCACTCCATTACTTCCCTCTCCAGGCCACTTCCCACTCACACTGTCCCACTGGCTGCATCCTCTGCATTCTGCTCTTGGTCATGGGCCAGTCAAGCAGGAACTGCTCAGCCTCTCAGACGTATGTTGGTGCCCTTGCCACTCTACTCCCACAGCTCTGTGCAGCTCTGTTATTTCATATGCCTGTGTCCTCTGAGTGTGTGCCAGCTTGCCCTCTGGCCCTGATGCTGCAGAGGAGAGGGCTCATGCTCTAGGTTTGGGATGTCTTAGAGCCTAGTGTGCAGGATGGCCTCAGGCTGTGGGTTGTGAATGACATCTCAGGTTGGGGTTTCCCAGGCTTCTTGCCATCTTGGGGAATGGTTGTTCTACTTGCGCTTAGTCTCTGGGGCTCGGTGTGCTGGCCTGTGGCCCAAGGATCTCAGGCACCTTCAGGGCCTTGCCTGACTGACCTATATAGGCCCTGAGCCAGCAGGGAGCTGGAGGTCAGGCTGGTGGCAAAATACAATTTCAGGGGAGAGGCCGGGGCCCAAAGTTTGGATGGGGAGAGGACTTGGTACCCTTGGGGAGGCTCAGCAAGGTCAGCCCTCACCCCTCACTCCTGGGTTTCAGACTTGAAGCTGCACCTGCAAAGCACTGACTACGGCAACTTCCTCGCCAATGAGGCGTCACCTCTGACGGTGTCAGTTATCGATGACCGGCTCAAGGAGAAGATGGTGGTGGAGTTCCGCCACATGAGGAACCATGCCTACGAGCCACTCGCCAGCTTCCTGGACTTTATTACGTGAGTGTGCCAATCCCACTGGGCAGAAAGCCCTTTCCACTGGCGGGATGGCTGCACCTGCAGGAGCTGGCCCTGCACGGCTTAGCCAGCCATCTTTATGACTCCATCGGTTGTCAGAGCTGATGAGAGGGTCAGCTCCATAGCTCAGTGATTAAATGCTGTGCATAGTAAACCAGGTCCCCTATGGCTGACCACAGTTCAAATCCTAGCCCTAGCAACTTGAAGAACATGCCAGGCACTTGTGGGCATATGTCTGGCATGTATTCTGATGGGTTGGAAAAAAAAGGATTGTGACATGACCAGGGCCCCTTGGGGGTCACTTTCTGCCTGCCTCTCTTTCTCTCTGTGGCAAGCGTACGTAACTTCTGACAATTAAAAAATTAAAAAACTCATTAAAAAAACCCCTGATGACAGCTTCATTAGGCCAGCTGTCATTGAGCACTACCGTCAGTGGTCTCCAGGGCTGTGCGACTCAGCTGGTCGTTCAACAGCCCTGACCAGCTGGACCTCGAGACCACCGCCTGTTAGCTGTGGTCACCAGCACCTTCACTGTTGGCTGGGGAGATGGAGGGCAGGTGAGAATGTTCCACACGGGAGTGCTGGAGGGAAGCCCCTTCTCCTGTACCCTCAGTGTCACAGAGACTGAGGAGGGTTGTGACTGACCAGAGAAAATGGTCAGGCACTTGTGGGCGTATGTCTGGCATGTATTCTTACCCCACTGTACCCACACTGTGGACTCACCAGGCTGCAGTGCCCATGCTGGGGTGAAAGGTCAGGGGATGGTCAGAGCTGGTTCCTGGGATGATCCAGTCAGGCCCTCTGGCTCTGTATGAATGGAGGCACATTCTCCATCTGTTCCATCCATGGCTCTGAGTCCAGGGAGATTGGGTGGGAAATGACAGGCTGAACACTTTAATGCCTTTCTCAATTTTGGCCCAAGTCCCAAGGAATTCAGGTGGGCAGGCCCCAAGCTAGGACCCTTGGCTGCCTCAGTTTCCCCACCTTCAGACAGCTCTGCCTTCACCAAGCTTCTGAAGAAGCAGAGGAAAGGGCTCTGGGACCTGTAGCTGAGGAGAACACTTGGACTGGCCAGTCTCTGTCATGTATGCCCGTGGACACAGGGAGGTAGAAAGGTCCCCTCTGAGGGGCTGGCCCAAGAGCTAGGGCCAGGACCTAGCAGACAAAGAAATGGCCCAAGCAAAGATGTCTGCACTACCCAGGTGGTGAGGAGAGGCATTGTTGGCTAGCTTCTAGAAGCTAGGAGCGTGTCTTCTAGGAATGTGTGTGGGGAAGTGTCTCCTTGCACTTGTCTGGGTATTGTCCAGCTTTTACTCTTCCCTAATTACGAAGTCCTTGCTCTGCCCCTGGGAACCTGCAACCTGCCCTTCTTATCCCTGCAGGGTCAGTCTTAGATCCCTCCTGCCAGACCTGTTTCGACTCTCTGCAGGGTATAGCCATCTGCACAAGATCCGCTTGCTCAAGTAGGGGCTACAGCCAGAGGGATCCATCCTCAAACAGGGGCCACACACTGGACACCCAAGGGCTCCTTGACCAATCTGGGAAGCAGGCCCTCTCCAGGCTACAGGCCTCCTGCCCCAGGACCTTCTGCCCCAGGGGCCTCTCTGTTGCCCTAGCTGGACCCACACTCATATGCTCCAGACTTCCATGCAGGTTTGCAGATGTGGACCTACTAGGCCAGAGATGGGCTGTATTGTGTACTGCTGCATCCAGGGCCACATAGCAGTGGTCCATCTGTCTGTCAACCCCTGGCCTGCACTTGTGTGTCCACTGCCCTGAGGCCAGAGCTGAGGACATATCAGGAAGCAGTACATTGATTGTCAGGGCACATCCTTCATCTGTGACTTGTTTGCACAAAGCTCCTTTGGCTTCCTGGTCAACGTTCGGGTCCTACCAGATAGGCTGGCCAGAGGAGACCTGACCCCATGCCAGTGGTCAGAGGGCAGATGTTGTCCATCACATTACCCTCTTGCTCACCTGCCTGGGCTTCTAGCCCTGGCCTGTTCTGATGTCCGCCTGCCAGGCCGTGAAACCGGAGAGGGCTGAGAGCGTGACTGAGGCTGCACAGCCGCCAGCTCTTTGCTGGAGGTTGGCTGCAAGCACCATGTGTGCATAAAGCAGCCAAGTGCTATCCTGTGGCAGGCTGTCCGAATCCGCCACTTCCCCGCCCCTTCCATTCATGGGTGATCGAGGCTTAGAATCTTCCCGTCCACTCACTCCTGCCCTCTCTGGGGAAGAGCTCGGCAGCCACGTGTCGGTCCAACTGAGCCTGTGGCTGCTCGGTCTGTGACCTCGTCATCTCCAATGACCTGTTCCTCCGTGACTCTTCTCTCCACTTCAGCCACCCCCGCTGATGGGCTGCCTGAGGCCTTGTCACCACCTGGAAAGGTTCCAGCCCTGAAATCGCTGAATCAGGCACCCCCTCTTTACCCACAGCTTTGAAGCCCTCCAACCCACTCTCAGTCCCTTGTGGGACGTGGGTTCCGGACTCAGCAGGACACTGGGCCTGGCTTCTTCCCCTGCTGCCTGTTCTATCTTCGTTTCCCTCCCTCCCCAGCTGAGGTTCCCTGGTCCATCATTCAAGTGCTCTTCTGCCAACATCCGCAGCTCTCTTGGCCGCCCGACTCATGGTCCCGCCCGGCTGGCAGCCCCCCAGCCCTGGAGGAATCCCAGCAGCCTCCAGCCTGGAGCCTCCTCCCCCCACCCCTACTGCTGGGAGCAAAGCTGGGGAAGCTGGCCATTGGAGGGGGCGGGGGGTCATCCCTGCGCCACACATGCGTGCACAGCATCAGCTAGCTTCAGCCCTGCCCAGCAGCCTCCTGCTCTCCCTCCTCAGTACCCTGCAGCCTCCCATCAAGGGTGAAAAGACCACAGCCCATTTTAAACATCATCTGTCTCCTGCCCCCAACCTCTTCTCTGGGCAGATGGCCCACCTCCTCCTCCACAAAGACAATAGACGCCAGTCCGCCTCCTTGCACTGCATCTGCACCCCCTCCCCCCGAGCCCGGCCAGTGGCAGAAGCGCCCTCTTCTCTCAGATCCTTCTACCAATGTTCTGACCCCCTCACTCTACTTCCTAGACTCTGAGTAGCCACCCATCTGTACTGTCCATGCATTACCAGCCCTCCCAGGGTCTGTGTCAGCAGCTACATGAGCTCAAGTCTCTCACATCATGGGGAACCCATCTTGCAGGGCCTACACTTTTACATTCACTATCCTCACCTCCCCCTCTCCCCTCTAGCCTCTAGTCAGCTTCCAACAGTTCTGTCACTCCACCACAAGGCCCTGGCCAAGGTCACCCTGACTTTGATGTGGCCCGAGTCTCGAGGCCTGATCACTCCTTACTGTCCAGCTCCCCGCCCCAACAGTCTCCTTCCTCTCAGTGTGTCTCTGATTTAACTCCTACCTCCCTGGTTGCGTCTCCTCCACTCTGCCCTACAGCTCATCCTGAGTGTGAAGAAGGTTGTAGAAAGGGGTAAAGCCTTCTATAGGGTCCTGGCCAGGGGAGCCCCCAGGTTGGGGCTTCACGACTGGCTTCCCTGAGGAGGTGACTTCTTGGCTGAGGGAAACCAGACATTTAAGGGAAGGGTTGGGGAAGGCTGTTCTCTGCTGAGGGAACTATGTATGTTCTGAGTGGCAAGTGGGGAGCCTCTGGCTCTCTGTGCCTACAACAGCCTCTAAGTATGGCGCCCACTCTGGGAAGGAGAAAGCTACCCTAGAAATGCCCAGAGGATAGGACCGAGAGGGGGGAATGTGGATCTCCAGGTGGCAGAAGCATTAGCTAGAGCCCCCAGCCTGGGTGTGAAGACTTAGGGGAGCAGCACCCTCAGTGCCCACAGATAGAGCTGACCCAGTCAAGGACAGAGGTTGGGAACACCACCAAGGTCACCGTAGGTCCACTTGTCAGTCTCTCCTTTGCCTTTCGAGCTGTCCTTGAATGGCTTTAACGGGCTTCTGCAACAGGTGATGAATTCCTTGTCACTGCAGGTGTGCAAGCAGAAGCCAGTCAAAGCTGCTTCTGCCCTTCTGTGTGAGAGACAGCGTCCAGTGCTGTTGTAGATCCCGCCAGCCTTCAGCCAGCACACCTGACCAGTACCGGTCTGGCCAGGCCTATTGCCAGGAGACGGAGGCACAGCCCAGTGGGCTGATGCCGGTAGTCGGGGAGGCCTGTGGGAGCTCAGAAATGGAACTCAGGGTCGTGGGTGGCTTCACAGCACTGGGAGGATTCCAGACCAGGTGGGGATAGAGAAGCCACTTGAGAGCAGGTGCAGGAGCAGAGGCAGCCGCCTGGTGTGAGACAGCCAGCCTGGGACAGCTAGCCTTGAAGGAGACTGTCATCATGCGGCCTTGAGATGCTCCGGCTCAATTCCATGGCACAAACGTGCTGTGTCACGGTACTGAGGGTTCCTGCCAGGCCCAGCCGTTAACTTACTAACGGGGGATTATCTCTTTTAGGTTTTTCTGGCCTTGTAGGGGCCCTTGACCTGGGTCATTCCATGGTGTTTTCCGTGGGAGAGTTGGCCCCAGAAGAGAAGCTGAGGGAGTTGTTTGTGAGAGGAGTGAGTCTGTTCTCTGGGGAGTCCTTGAAAAAGTGAGCCTCCCTGGAGAGGACTTTCCCCAGCATGCAGTACCTGCCTGTTCCCCTGCACCATCTGGGGGTACCGAGGTCCCATGGTTTTCTACCTCTAGGGCCTCAGTGCCACCAGCTGGGAGTGGGCAGCTGGAAGGAAGCTTTGTCCAATGGGCCCATCAGCACATCTGCCATGCTCACCAGGATATGTCGCCTTAGCTTGGTCCTGCTTGGTCAAAGAGGAGCATCAAGTTTCTCCGGGCCACCTTGCCCTGACGTGCCACCCCTCACTGTCCGTAACCAATGTTTCTGGGTTGACACCAGGTGTCTGTAGGCTGGGTTTGGGCCTACTGTGGTTTCTACTCCTACCTTGCAGGAGAGCACACAGGAGTCCTCAAGGCCTACGGGGTTCCAGTCAGGTGGAAGGACCCAGGTGGGCTTCTGAGAAGTGTATTTTTTTTTTAAAAGAGGTGTTTGGGGGCTGGCAGGTGGCATGGTGGTTAAGGGTGCTGGACTCACACATGGCCGACTGTGGTTCGAGTCCTGGACCTGGTGGCTTGCTTTCTCACTTTCCCTCTCCTTCTCTCACTCTGTCCCTCTCTGGTCAGACAGACAGACAGACAGACAGAAAGAAAGAAAGAAAGAAAGGGAGAAAGAGAGCAAGAGAGAAAGGGAGAAAAGAAGGAAGGAAGAAAGAAAGTTAAAAAAAATATTTTTTAACAAAGAGGTATTTGCCCTAGGGCACGTGCGCTCTCTGGAGAGAGAAAGGAGACAGTGAAAGGGAAAGTGAGAAGTCACTCCTCCATTTTCCTCCTGCGATCTTGGGCACACACGCACATGTGCCCAGCATGATTTTTAAGCCACTGGGTCCAGGACTTGAACTGTGGTTGGCCATGTGGGAGTCCAGTGATGTACTGCCATGTCATCTGCCAGTCCTCGGAGTGTAAGAGCTTAGTGAGGAGAAGGGCAGAGCCTCAGTCACTCTGCTGCGGGCCGTGCCTCACTCACCTTGGTTGCAGAGGGGAATCAAGCTTGAGGGTGGACAGGCTGGCAGGCCATGCTAGTCATCCTGGCCATTTCAGCAGCGCAGAACTGGTCCCCAGGGCAGCAGAGGGGTGCGGTTGGCTAGGGACTCTGAAGGCTTCTTGGAGGAAGTGGCTTCTGAAACTCCAACCTTAGACTTCTCTGGGGCTGAGCTGAGTTTTGAAGGGATAGGGCAAGGGAGGGCCTCCAGGCAGAGGGATTCAGGCTGCCCCCCCACCCCACATGGCCCCTTTGGCCTGGCGGGCAGCCGGCCATCCACTCCCCAGCTGTCTTCCCCTGGAGGGAGACGCTGACCAGCTGGAACCTCATTCTCTCCTGCTGAGGCCAAATGAGGGGAGGAATGGTGGAGTGACTTTCTGGGGGGCAGGGAGGCAGCTGCTGAAGCCAGGCGAGGAGGAGGAGGATTTCCCTTCCTGCCGAAGGCTCCCACCTCGGCCTTGGGGGAGGCTGGGCCAGCATCATCTCTGCCAGGCCTGCCCTGTCCCTGTCTCCCAGGAAGGGTTCTGCCCTTCCCTGTTGGGCTCTTCCCTGAGCATCCTCATCAGCTGGATGTTCAGGGTTGGCCCAGCTTGGACTAGAAGGGGGCCTTAGAAGGGACTCGGGTGGCATGATCATGGGTGCCCTTACGTGGCTCAGTGTTCCGCTGGTGCCAGCTGGGACTGATAGCAGGAGAGATTGCGGGAAGTGAGGGGTGCTACTGCCGGCCTCCATGTCTGCTGTCAGAGCTGAAAAGTAAATCCCAACTGGCTGGTCCACATCACCAGAGGGACAGCAGCAAGCCAGAGGGCAGTGTCTCTCCGCAGGCTCTCCTCAGGCTGGCCAGCGCCCTGGAGCGTGCCGAGGCGTGTATCTTGGGCCCCGGCCCCAGGCCCCACTCCAAGCATAAACAGATACCCTGATATGTGGGTGCAAAGACTAGGGAGGCATAGAAAGAGCAAGATGGAGAATGGGGGCTCTGGACGTGGGAAGTGTGGGGACACTGGCCTTGGGGATGTAGAGCCTCTGCGTTTTATGGTGTGACAGGGCCTGATCTGCCCTTTCTGGGCCTTATCTGCACTGAGAGTGGGGCTAGTGCTCCTGGTGCCTGTGGGATCACTTGAATGATGTGTGCTGCTCCCTGCACCCGGACTGGAGGGTGGTGGATCATCCTGGCTTGGGGGAGGGACCTCTGTGGCTGTCTCGGGGTGTGATGGCCGCCATGGGGCTGGAGGGGGTGTGGGTACAGTGCTGCAGGTGTGTGCAGCATGAGTCCTGAGGTACCTGAGGTGCTGGGGCATCCGGCAGGAGGCATGTGCTGTCCAGGGTGGAGAAGCTACCTGAAGACGGTGGTGCAAAAGCTGTGTTGGGCTTTCTGTGAGGCCACGCCTCTCTGCCAGCTCTGTGGGTTGGGGGCAGGAGTTTGGGCCTCTTGGCTTGCAGCTGCACATGGCCCTGCCTAAGGCCCTAGTTTTGGGAAGGTTAGCCTGTCTGTTCTCAGTGCACATCCTAGAGCTGACCCAGCCTGATTGGGGACGGAGAGAGGGCAGCTGCCTGGCCCTGGTCCCAGGAGAGCAGAGATCACAGGAGTGCGCCAGGCCGAGTGGGAGCTGGGGGGGTTGGCAGAAAGCAGGGCGAGTTAGGGTCAGGCCAGTACAGGAGCTAGGCCTGTTCCTCCTCACGCCTTCCTGGAGGGCCCTGTGGGAGCACCCACGATGGCCAGCCCTCTGAGCTAGGTCCTGAGCTGTTCCCTTTCTCACTTTCTTCTCCCAGCATTGGGATCCACCTCCTACCAGGCTCTCCCCTGGACAGCCTCAGCACTGGGTGCTCAAGGTCCTGTCTCAGGTCAGAGGCCTAGCTCTGGCCCACCAGAAGCTCTGCCGGGGCCTGCCTTCAGTGCCCACCCTGCTATGGAGGACATTCCCCGAAGCCTCATCTGGTTCCCTCATGCCCTGAGTTCATCACTGGTGACAGACTGGAGGGCAGTTGTGACCACCACAGCCTGACTGTGGCCTAGGGCCCTCCTCCCTGCTTTACTGACCCAATTCCCACGCAGGCGACTACACAGAACTCTGTCCCAGCCCCTTTGTAGCATGGTTGCCAGTTGGAGGAAGAGCCTTGTCCCTCGCCGAGCTCCACAGCCCCCTCTGCTGCCTTCTGCAGGGCAGAGCTGAGGGGAGCTCGGCCCTGGACTGACCTGAACCCAGACTCCTGTCCAGGCCATTGTGGGCTGGCACCCGGCCCTGGCCTCAGGCCCTGAAGGAGGAGGTTGGTTCTCTTTCTGTGGAGTGGGGCTGTGCAGGTCTGCCTGACCTGGGCCTTCACTGCAAAGGGGACCTCCCACTGGCTTTTCTCTGGCCTTCCCTGGGGAAGCTTCTCCAACTTAACTCCTCGATCTTTCCTTCCCTTGCCATCTTCCCCCACCCCCAACTCTGGTCTCTACCCACAAGCCAGAGCGACCCTAACTGGATGGCGATCCTACTTGCTTCCATCCTGTGCGTGGGTCCCTAGTGCTCACAGAGGAGTCGGGGTCCAGCCTCCATGCCCTGCCTGCTGGCAGCTCTGCCTGCTTGTTGCTGCACCCTCTCTCTCCCTGTGTCCGTCCTGACCGGGCTCAGTTCCTCGAAGGTACCCATCACTCAGTGAATGCCCCCAGGCCTTCACACCCTGTTCCCAGAATACAGCTCCTTCTCCCAGCCCTTCCGTCTCAGGCTCCTGGCCACCCCATTTCAGGCTGGGCCGTGGACCTCACCTCCATGTACTCATGGTTCACACAGGGGGGTACTTATTCGTGGCATGTGAACCCCTGGGGTCCTGTCTGACCTGTGTTCCTGGGAATGGGAGTACTCAGGACCCCAAGAGGACCCTGGGCAGGAGTTAGCCAGCGGCACTGACCTGCAGTGCCAAGTCAGTACGTGGCATGAGCTGGGGCTGTGCGAGTGGGAGCAGGGCTGGGGTGCCGTGCTGGCCCTGAGGGGCTGCCCCGCTGTTGCCTGCCTCCTGCAGTTACAGCTACATGATCGACAACGTGATCCTGCTCATCACGGGCACACTGCACCAGCGCTCCATCGCCGAGCTTGTGCCCAAGTGCCACCCGCTAGGCAGCTTCGAGCAGATGGAGGCTGTGAACATCGCGCAGACACCCGCCGAGCTCTACAATGCCATTCTGGTGGACACGCCCCTGGGTGAGCGCTATGGTGGGGCAGATCGCGGTACCAGTGTCAGTGCCTGCATGTGGGATCCACAAGTCAGGGTTGCCAGGGGGTGAGGCGACCCTGAGCCAGAACGTGAGACCCACCTGCTGCTCTTCCCCTTGTTGCCCCTCACCTTTTCCTGCCAGTTCTCCCCTCCTCACCCCTTCCTTTCTGCTCCTTTCCTTTACTTCAGCTGGCCAGGCAGGGCACTGCAGGCCCAACTGAGACCCTCCACCTTAGTGATTTCTCTGCATGCAGAGGACTGAGCTCATGGAGAAGAGAGAGGGAGCCTGGAGTCCGTGCGCATGGCCCAGAGTAGTTTCTGCCACTCCAAGGAGCTTTGACGGGCTGTGGCCCCAGGCGGGAGCCTGGACAAGGCCAGAGTGGCAGCCACCTGTGAGGCAGAGGAGGGAGACAAATAGTTTCACCTGCCTCCACCACGCCCCAGGGGCCAGGTCAGGCAGTGTCCAGCAGCAGGCAGGATCTGTGTGAGAGGCCAAGGAAGGGAAGGGAATTAGAAGGTTCTTGCAGACCTCTCTCAGGCATTGCTCCTGTGTGTCTGTGAGGCTAAGGAGAAAGCACTGTGACCACAACCAGCATAACCAGTCAGTATCTCATAGCCAAGACCTGGGTACCAGGGCACCACACCACCTCCAGAAAGCCACCAGGGTTGTAGTGTACCAGACCCACAGGGCTAGAAGATGCACTAGGTCCATGGGACCAGCAGTTAGTGTAATGGCTATGTCGCTGGACTCCCATGTAGTCGACCGCGGTTCAAGTCCCAGACCCGGTGGCTTAAAACTCACACCAGGCGCGTGTGCATGCGTGCCCAAAATCCCAAGAGGAGAATGGAGGAGAAGGGATTGCAGCATGGCCATCCCCCCTGGGGGTGATCTCTCACTTTCTGTCTCTCTGTCTCTCTCTCTTTGGCGAACGCACGTGCCCTATGGCAAAAACCTCTCAAAAAATAAAAATAAAATAAAATAAAGATGCACTAGGTCTAAGCTCAGAGGCCTAACCCCTGCCCAGTGACCTTGTCTGCCATAGACTCTCAGTAACTCTGAGCTAGTTCTGGGCTAGTTCTGGTCTTTTTAATTTCTCCATCTTTAAAGAAGTAACAGACTGGGGACCAGCAGGAGGTGTGGTGGTTAAGGGCACTGGACTCCCACATGGATAACTATGATTCGAGTCCCAGACCTGGCGGCTTACTTTCTCACTTTCTGCCCCCCTCTCTCTCTTGTTCTGTCTCTGTCTGGTCAAATTGGAATAAATAAAGTTAAATAAAATAATTCTTTAAAACAAAAAAAGGAAGAGACAGACTAGTGGGTCTGCAGACCCTCCTTAAGGGTGAGAGTACTCCTGTTCCGGCTCCCCAGCGATCCCCAGGTCCCTGGTCCATGCCCACTCAGCTGTTGGAATTCATTCCATGTCCTAAGGAGAAGGATGCAGGTTTTCCAGGGGTGGGTGCCAGGCCCTCCTAGGGGATGCAGAGAAGTGGGCGTCACGCCCTGAATCCACAGCTGCCCCTGGAGAAGGGAGGATGTCACGGCCTCTTATGCAAGCCTGTCTTTGGCATAGTCTGAGCTTGGGTCTGCCCCAGCAGTGATTAGATCATGTTATGGCTGGCCGCCTCCTTTATAAATCAATTTTAGGAGCAAGGAGGCAAGAGAAGCTCAGGTCAGTGTGCGTGGCCCAGAGTATTGTTTCCGCCACTTCCAAGGCAAAACCCCAGGCTGGGTTGGGGCCCCTAATACTCAGCCCGGTGAGCCCTGTGGCAGGGGCCCTCTGTACCCTGCAGGGTGGTTGACCATCAGGAGAGTTCTCGCCTAGGCCACTTGCCCGCCGCTCACACTGCGTCTTTCCTTCCCAGCGGCTTTTTTCCAGGACTGCATCTCAGAGCAGGACCTGGATGAGATGAACATCGAGATCATCCGCAACACACTCTACAAGGTAGTGTCCTGTGCAGGCATTATGGGGTCGGCCTGTCAGCAGCAGGGCGGCGGGACAGTGATTTATGTGAGGTGCCAGGACAGCACACAGCTGCACCAGACTGTCGGGGGCTTCTCTGCTCACTCTCTGGCTCCTGCGGTGGGCACGAGGCTATGTGGAACAGGTTCTCCATCCCCTGGCGCCTGTGGCGGGCTTAGATAAGATCAGCAGGAGTGGCTGGCGCTCCGCTGCTCAGCCTGTCAGAGCTGGCTCCTGGATGACCGTTCCCCCAGCATCCAGGAGGGTCACGGGCCACCACCCAGGCCGTAGCCCTTGGGCTTACTTCACCTGGGCTGTTGCCAGCAAGGACTGGCACTTGAGCAAAGGCCACAGTGTGCTCAGTTGTGGTAGGGGAGGGACCCAGCTAGGTGTAACCAGTCCTCGTGACCCTTTCAGGTTTCCAGACCTGGAGCTGAGCCACTTCCCATTACCCTTATCCCCTTCCCTGCACCATCTTCTGCTTCACACTGTGCAGTAGCATTCACTGGGTGACCCCTGGGGATAGAGAATGTTTGGGATTCCTGGGTTGGGAGTGACCTGGCCCAAAGAGCTGAAGAGCTAGGGACTAGCTAGGGGTATTCAGGACACTGGGCTGGGGCTGAAGTAAGGTACAGAGCTCCTGTGCCAGGACCCAATGGGCTGTAGTCAGGAGCATGGATCAGCACCAGGAATGGGGATAAGGCTGGCTCGGGCCAAGGGACCTGCTGACCAACCCCTGCCAGTCCTGTCCTGCCCTGTTAGAGATAGCTGGCTGACACTGGGCTACAGCCTGGGCCAGACCCTCAGTCTCCCTGGAGGGGCCAGCCCAGAGCACAGCAGGCTCTGGTGGCAGGCAGAGGGCCTGCCTGGAGGGCATAGTGGTGTAGGCAGGGGAGCAGCACATGCAGAAGGAAAGCGTAGAGTTGGGTGAATGCAGGTGGTTCGTAGAGGAAGAACAGGTTCCAGATGGACAGTAAGAGAGAGGTCTGGGGGCCGGCAGGTGGCACGGTGGTTAAGGGTGCTGGACTCCCACATGGCCAACCACAGTTCGATTCCTGGACATGGCAACTTGCTTTCTCACTTTCCCTCTCTCTCACTCACTCTGTCCCTCTCTGGTCAAATTAAAATAAATAAACAAATGAATGAATGAAGTTAAATAAAATAATTCTTTAAAAGAGATAGAGAGAGCGACCAGCAGTTAGCGTAATGACTATGTCGCTGGACTCCCACGTAGTCGACCGTGGTTCAAGTCCTGGACCCGGTGGCTTAAACTCACACCGGGCGCGTGTGCATGCATGCCCAAGATCCCGAGAGGAGAATGGAGGAGAAGGGATTGTGGTGTGGCCATCCCCCCTGGGGGGTGATTTCTCGCTTTCTATCTCTCTGTCTCTCTCTGTCTTTCTAGCAAGCGCACACGCCCTATAGTGAAAACCTCTCCAAAAAGTAAAAAGAGAGAGAGAGAGATAGGTTTGGAAGAAGAGGCAGACACTGGATCAAGTCACTTGGGGCCTTGAATGACAGGCCAATTTGAACGACCTCCTGCGGGCAGGGTTTCTAGCAGGGCAGAGCATGCCCAGAAGGCCCTGTCTGGCCACAGTGTAGAGGGTGTATTAAAGGGGATGAGGCCAGAAGTGGGAAGGTCATGGACTTCTTAATCCTGAGGCTGCCCTAGGAGCCAGATGGGCATCACCATTTCCATTTATAAAATGTGGAAACTGAGGGCTCAGAGAAGCGGGGTGGATGGCCTAAAGCCACATGGTAAGTCACCTGCAGTGCCAGGGATCACACCTGCCTCAGCTTGTTTGCAAAAGTGAGCTGTCTCACCCATCCCACTAAGAGGGAAGAAGCTAGCCTGTGTGTGTGTGTGTGTGTGTGTGTGTGTGTGTGCGCGCGCGCGCACATGTACACGCACACACATACTCCTTGTGCTCCCACCCTCCCAGCTGGCCCATTGCCGGGTTCCCTGCCCTGAGACAGGGTAAGGGGTGTGGCTGTCCCCCCAGCCTCACCCACACCCTCACCAGGCCTGACTGGTTCTAGCTGGAGTTGCTGGCGAGGGTTGCCCAGGCACCAGCTCATAAATACCGGTCCAATGCTATGGGCCCTGTGCCAGGACCGCCCGCCCGTCAGGCAGTGTCCCCACTTGCTGGCCACAGATGGGAGATTAGGCGGACCCTCAGCCACCCAGTGGGTAGGAACTGTAGGCAGCCGATGCAGCAGCCATGGGCTGGCAGGCTCCAGGGGACAGGGTGAGATGGGGATGTGACCTTGGTACCTGGGCTTCTGGGGCTTGCCAGTTTCTTTAGCTGCCCTGGCCTTCAGAAAAGAGTCTGGGCCTCTCCCATCAGCCTCCTCAACACTCAGGTTGGCCTCTCCAGGTATTGGTACAACTTTGCTCAGCAAATGGGAGGGTAGCTGGGCATGGTGCCCAAGACGTGGCTGGTTGTTTCCCCACAGATAGGAGCTGCAGGCCCCACTGGGCCAGCCTCAGGATTAGAGCACAGCCTGCTTGGCTGCCACAGGGAAGGAGGTGGGTGGGACCAGACTCCTAGAGGGACTGAGAAGCCCCACCAAGCATGGCAGGGGTTGGCAGCTCTCTTTGCTGCTCAGCCCTCTGGTTCCTGGGGGTCTTCTGTGCTGAGGTCCACTCTCCCCTTCCAGGCTTCTTTCTCCCTGACCTGTCCTAGACTTCTGTTTTCAGTGATCATTCTTAGGCTTTCCTCTGAGCCCGGCTTGCCCAGTGTTGCTGACCAAGCTAGGCCTGCCCTGTGGATCCTGGAACTCCTCGCATGTCTCTTAGAGCAGCAGAGCCCATGGGCCCAAGGCCCCAACGTGGAAAGATCTCCACACCTTGGAGGTCAGACCTTCGCATGGAAGGCTTTCCATGCCTCCCAGCCATCACCCCCAACTTGAAAGAATGGTCTCTAGCCTGTGGAGTTGGCGTCTCTGTGACCATGCCACCAGATGGGACTCGTGCAGGGAGCTCTGAGAGGAGGGTGCCCACAGGGCCTGCAAGGCCATCCGCCTTGGCTGGCATGGAGAGATGTGAGGCAGGAAGCCTGGCTGGTTCTGTGAGTGACTGTCGGGAGGGACTGGAGCTGGGGCCGACTTGTTCTTTCCTCATGTCCAGCAGATCCAATTTGCCTGGGCAGGAAGTTCTTGTTCCCACTGGCAGCCCACATGCCCAGCCCTTGCCCTGTGAGGCTGACGTCCATGTAGGCAATAACCATCCCTCAGCAGGAGCAATAACCATCCCACAGCAGGAAGTGGCCTGACAGTTTGGTTCCTGCTGTATAATGCTCGGGGACGGCGGTGGGGGCTAGGGAGGAGGAGGGGGAAATGTTCTGAAAGGGAGGCCGTAAGGGGACCGGCCATCTCTGTGACCTCTCAGGAGTAACCTTCCCCTGCAAGGCAGGGATATCCGGCTTTCTGAGGCTGAGGAGGGGGAGGTTAAGGAAAAGGAAGAAGTTGGCCAGAAACTGCTGTCAGTCCTGGGTGGGAGGCAGCAGGCTACTACTGCTTGGCCGAGGAACAGTTGGGATTTGTGATGTTGCAGGGGCTTGGCCAAGGCTTGGGTGTGTGCTTTATATCCACCTGGAAAGGGGCTTGGGGGTGGGGAGGAGAGAGATGGGAGTCGGAGGCCTGGCCAAACCCCCCGCAGTCCGCCCGCCTGCGCTGAGACAG